AGACGCTGAAGCTTCGATACCAGACGTCTCTCAAGGTCATCAACACGCATATCTATGTGGTGAGCAAGCTTGGCTCGATCATCCTGAGAACAGCAGTAAATTATTGGGAAGCAAGCGGGTCGAAAAGGGCACGGATAGATGCACTCACTCGGCGCATTTTCCTCATCTCCTCCACAATATCCCCAACAATGAGTTGCCGCTGAGATGCAACTAAGCTCTGTTGCTGGTCATAAAATCTCATTTCTTGTTGCTGCAGCGCTGTGGCCATGAGCTCCTCCATTTGCCGCTTCCCTGAATGCATGTACTCACGATGAACCCGTTATATGTAAGTATGGAGGACAGCGGAGCGAAGCACACCTATGCTTCCTCCATCAGTAGCATTGATGCCACATGAGAATACTTCATGTATGCGGTTCAACTGCAACACCCCTTGCCAGGTTCTCTCTTTATCTGGTAGAGCCGACAGCCTTTCATAGACGATTTTGTAGTCGTTCCAGAACTCCAGCCGGTCCTGCTCATCCCTCCCATCAGCCAACGCGCGGTCTTTCATGCGATTGAGAGCATGAAGACCTTCTACAGCGAAGCCCGTATCACGCAGCCCTCCGAGATAGAACGTCACAGTCTGTGATGCGTCGTCCAGAATCTTCCAAATACGCGCTCGGTCAAGCTCCACCGATTTATCTTCCGAAGAAACCTGAGTAAAACCCGACTCGCACTCAAAAGGGTTATAACGGATAATCACTAACCGCTGGGCTAGTCGTTCCAGGTGACAAAGGGATGCTCCGAAGACTGATGTGCAGCTGAGACGAGGACGTGAGGCTCTGCGACTGACCAGAACCCGTCTCCTGCGAGCCTGGCCCAATGCAGCCTTCAACGGCAATCTGAATAACTTCACTAAAAGTCAAACAGCCGTCCGCTTTTCATTACCTTGCCAGCTGTACTTGTTCCCAGGAGCGGCGTGATGATAGTGCTAGAAGGATGCGGTACTACCGCAGCGGTAGTAGTTGTGAATAGACCATTGAGGCACAGTTCACTACAGTCTGAGTCAACAGTAGTGTGACCTCATGTAATTCGTCGCATTTTCTAGTTCATGTTCTGACGGTTCGACAAGTTGTATTGTGGTTATCATTAAAGTGACTGCTCCTCGATGCCTGCATCTTCCATTAGGTAAGCCTTTGCCCAAGAATGGTACAGTACGCGCCATCTAGAGACCGACAATACGTGTGCAGAGGTAACTTTTTCTACAGAGCGATTTTCAAGCTAAAACTTCGAATATAATCCCCTCTTGTATAGTTATATTGCATGGAACCTGTCCGCAATCGATTTTCGGAAAAAATTTTCATGGCACTTTTTTGCACGTGTCCGACCCCCGATATTGAACCTGCACCCTCCGAAATTAACCCAATCTACAACTATTGATCATCAGGACACACAGTAGGAATCTATACAATGATAGTGTAAATCCTAACAGTACATTACACACAGTATTAAACAGAGAAAATTATGGAAAACCAAAGCTGGCAGCACTCAGCGCAATCTTTGCCTGCTGTACTTGCCAGTTTGTGAGCGATTCTCACCCTCCAATAGTACAGGTGACGCGCCCCGGTGTTTACGCTTCTCTTTTCTCAGCCTTTCAATTTCCTCTAAGCTCTTCCCCTCAACATAATGCCTGAGATATTCGCGGCTTGAACGAAAATACTTTCGGATGAGTGTAATATCCAGGTCAGCAACTTGCGATGCAGCTTCCACGCGCTCAACGAACCCGGCTGATGACCCTGCCCTATTCAAGAGACGAAGATGCTTAGCAATACTTCTATAAGCCGCCTCGATTGGGGCAAGCTCTGGGTGAAACTTCACACCGAAAATAACCACATCCCCCCTCGCAGTTGCCTCCTCCTCCAGCAATGTCTTCTGTGACTTGAAGTCCTCGCATTCTCCTAGTAAACTGACAAGGTCCCCATGGCGCTTCCCTCTCACGGCATTGTTGCCGAACCTCTCTAAAGCAACTTGTCGTAATCCTTTCGCTTCACCAGGATGCGTGGGATGATCTTCGGGGAATACCATGCTCTGCGTGACTCTCTTTCCCTTCTTCATGAACCAGCCATCTCTCATCTTCGGTTGCTGGCCTCCAGGTTTCACGTTCATCATCCTTACATTCAATCCATCTCCCGGATACTTACAGTGAATAGGGCTGCGATCAGTCATGAATACGCAGTGATATCTCCCATTCGAGAGAGACTTGATGGCTTCACTACATTCTTGGAAGTCTACTAGACACCTATCGCTATTGTAGTACCCATCCGAAGATACATCCAACACCGATCCTGCACGCTCCCCAGGTACATCTTCATCGTCGTCGCTATATTTGATGAAACCGTATATCTCAGAGAGGAAGTCCGATGTCATAACAGTCCTACCCATTGACTTGGTGGGCAGAGCCACAAATGAACCATCGGACCAGTATCTGCGTTGGACATCATTGCTATGGTGTATCTTCTCATCTTGAGACACAAGGATATGGGTCGCATCCGGATTGGGCTTAACGTCGAGGATCTCATCATCAATGGTCAACAGTGATGGGTAAACCTCATCCAAGGCATGGGCAAACCTCTGTCGGTCCGCTACTACATCAGATCGCTCATGTCCATCAACGTACAGAGTCTTTTTGAGAGTGAAGATTTTGAAGTCTAAATAATGCAGCCATCTTCCGACGCTTCTTTCGGAATAGCAATCATCGCCTTCGAGACCCAACTCCGTGTTAACCCACTGTGCGACAGTCTTTACCGTCAAATTAGGCGTCCCCTGTTTCCCCAATGACTCGGACTTCACGTATGCTTTGAGCTTCCTACGAAAGTCAGCAAAAGCCTCGTCATACATTGGAGAAAAGGTCTTACTGTGCCTTCCCCTCTTACTCTGAGAGAGCTCCATATTAATCTCATACTCTCGAATCCAAGCAGCTACACTCCCCGGCGAAAGACCCATCAAAGCAGCAACTTCTGAACCCGCTAGATATTTCGCTATCGAGCCTGGCTGTGTGACATAGGCTTGCTTTAAAACGAAGTAAACTGCCAACCTCTCCTTCATATCCCATGAAATATCATCCAATGGATTGTCAACCAGCAACTGCTCCTTCATTCGGGCTGTCTTCTCTCTCCAAGCGGCATTTCGCGCTTCTCGGATCTCCAGCTCTCGCTTACTTGGCCTGCGCGCTCCCTTACGCTGTACTAGTTTTGATACACGCTTCTTGACTGGCCCAGATCTCTTCCCAACATGTCCAACATTGCGAAGCTGACTCCCACTCAACGGATTTAGCCTCGTGTGATAGCCGTGCCTTGCTGTAGAGACAGAGCACTCGGATGAGGCTGCTGCTGTCTTAGTGGCTAGCCTCTCAGAGGTTCGCTTACATCGGCTCCTGGCCGCCTTAGCCCGGCTCCTCTGATAACGGCTGAGATCCTCTCCAGCGCTAGAGGCACTCATGATGCTGCTAGAATTGACCGTGGTACATGTATCCGCCGATTGCGTGGATGATTGGGTGAACTCAATCTCTTCGCTCATTTTTGCCGTCTTCTTGAAGAACAAGCCGTGTTATCGACACTCTGGTCAACGCTAGTGATTAGGGACAGATGGATTACCTCATTGTGTTATGCATTAAATTAATTTCGGAGGGTGCAGGTTCAATATCGGGGGTCGGACACGTGCAAAAAAGTGCCATGAAAATTTTTCCCGAAAATCGATTGCGGACAGGTTCCATGCAATATAACTATACAAGAGGGGATTATATTCGAAGTTTTAGCTTGAAAATCGCTCTGTAGAAAAAGTTACCTCTGCACACGTATTGTCGGTCTCTAGATGGCGCGTACTGTACATGTAAGCATTATCGACATTCCTACCGATGGCTCCGATTCCCTTGCTGTGGGATGGCATACCCCTGCGATCAGTGCCATGATGCGGCCTGGCCCGACCATCATGCCGTGTGGGCTAAGCGTATGCTGTGTGAATGGTGCGCTACCGAACAGAACTTCGGGCCAGGACCATGCAGGAAGTGTGGAAGACCACTGAACAAGATACGCACTAGGTGAGGGGGAAGCATTAGTTGGTTGATGATGGTTTACTGATCAGTCATTGGGAAGGCGGTGAGGGATGCCGAAATACGAGCTCTATGAGTAAGAATGATAAGAAGAAGTACGCGGGGAAGAACAAGACTGTCAGTCGGAAGGCGGCAGCCGCTATAATGGCCGGCGGGAAGAAGAAGAAGTAACATCATATTCATTGAGGGATTACAATTGTCATCATATTGACTGGTTTCTACGAAATCAATTTGTGCTGACTTGCCAGTTGTAATGCTATACCCACGGTAAGTGGGGGTCATCGTCGAGCCGAAGAGGAGACCACAACTAGAAGTAGTTAATACAACGATGATCATCTCCAACCACTTAACCTTCTGGAGCCGATGGCTGACTAAACAGCATCCTTCCCCTCCCGACAATGGCTGTTGAACATCCCTTCCGGTCAGACGACAACAGGCGTCATCTGGGCTACGTAACTCATCAAATGCGCACTGTTGCGAGAGTGTGGTTTTGACTAGCGCAGTTCTTATAATAGAGCCGTGTGTGGTACACACTGTGTACTACGGTAGTAGTGCTCACTGTACACAGTGTACAACATATAAGTTCTATACGAGGAATAATCTCCTCAAATTTCGGCGACCTCAGACAGAGTATTCTCCATAGGCCCCGTCTACAATCGCGAACGATCTTAATGCTCTGAGTTTGACAAGAAGACCGCCTTAAACCTGCAGTCTCAGACGAAGGAATTGTTGAGAGCAAGTCTTAGGGTCGGTGCCCAGCTTCAGCAGATGTGATCTGCGCTCGTATCATCACTCGAAACATTTTAGGCCGGTTCGAGAACCTCATTCGAATCGGAGTTTCCCACGAACTTGGAACTTAGGAAGCACTCGAGAAGGTCATCGCAGATGTCTTCCACTCAACATAAGATCAGAATTAGTCGCCTGAGTCGGCTCGACAGAGAACGTTGTAGCTACCTAAGGTAGCCTACCTTCATGTAACTTGACTAGTCAGAGCTCTACAGCACGAACGGGAACTGGATTTCAATTCAACACACAGCCGCTATGGTCGATAAACTGTTATCCGAAAAAAGACCAAAGATGACCAAACCGAGTTAGCAGGTCGAGTCGACTCAGTCGATCCGCCAAGAGAACTCGTGAAACAGGATGAAGTCTAGTTCTCTGCCATGCGTTCTGAACTCATGGCTCAATCTTGAACTCCTTATGAATAACGTCGATAGAAGGTTCCCAATTGACGAGTGGATGTAACCAAATATGGAGCTGACCTTCCCCGATGAGTTCCCAAGTGGAAATATTGTGGTCTTTGGTATTCATCGTGAGGTCAAAGGCGATCGAGATGCCTTGATTATTTGAATCCCCAGTGGTCTCCTTGAAAAGGGCCTCCATCCCGAAGTCGGAGTTGGGCCCGACATGAGCCGTGGCGACTTTAGAGATAGGCAAGTTGATTGCATCGTTACCGAGAACATCGCCTTCGACAGTCGCTTTTATCCCGATGTCAGCCGTCCATGTATCAGTTTTCGCGTCGTACTTGCCTCTGCCGTCCCCCACAGTATTAGCCTCTATAGTGACAGAACCGGCGACTGCCCCGCTAAGCCCCTCCTTCTTCACCACCTCAGCGCTGCCCCCACCCGTGATGTTGAGACCAGCCGATTTCACAGCATGAGTTGCCAACTCAACGTGGAAGTGTACCGACTTGGTGGGATCATTGATGTCAAAGAGATAAATTGTCATATTCACCGTGAACATCCCCGCAAAGCCTATAGTGCCCGTGGCACAGAAAGGCTCAGTAGCAGGCTTGTGAGCACCGGTACAACCTGTTGGGTAGGAGACCGGCGAACCTGCTGCTCGCCTCAGCTTGATCGAGCTTTCGACGAAAGGTGCCAAGCCACAAATGAATATAAGGAGCATCATTCTCATCATGGAAGTATTGGATACACTCTTGGAATGTCAACCGCAATTGTGTATGCGTCAAACTGCTAGTGTGGCGCCCCATTTGCACGCATTGCGTGCCACGCAATAACGGAGATGAGAGCTTTGTGATTCTTAGTTAGAGCCAGAAGACTTTCCGAGGGTGGAGGAGGCATAGTGGAGACGGGACGATGCAATGATGGTGGAGCGAGCGAAGCGAGCGGAGTTTACATTTCAGTTCGCGGTTGTTCGTCTGCGTGCGTGTGTGTGTTCTTCCGTCCGCTTGTGCGTGAGCACAAATTCTGCTACAAGTAGAGCGACCTCGACGAATCACATTAAAAATGTGGAGATTGGACAGCTCGGAGTTGTCAGACCAAGATATTCTTGCTGCTAAAAGAGTAAGAAAAGGACCTATCCCCCAAAGGATGCTTTCGTGAGGCTCTCACGGTGAGGGGGAATGTTAGTCGTTGGTCTACAAGATTATTCCACAGCCCGTTGGACAGGAGATCGGCGAAATGCCCGACTCTGTAACATCCCTCGAGGGGAGGGATAATACGGTCAAGGGCTCCCCCGTAGCCCAGCATCCATGTGTTGCAGGCTCCACTCACGAGCAACAGTTACTTTGAGTTTGCTCGAGTCCAAGAAGACAGTGCAGCTTAGCTAGATTAGAGAACGGTTGGCGGCGCAAACTTGGCGCTGTTAGAGCCTCACGACTCTGAGTTAGAGCCAGAAGACTTCCTGAGGATAGGGGAGACTCAGAAACTAACAATTACGCAAACCATATGATAATCACGCTATTCACGCTAATAGCTATTCAACTCACAAGCGAGCAATCAGCTTGATCGTTGAGCACGCATGCGCATAGTATATTGCGTGTTGGCAACGTGGTATCGCAGACTAGGGATGAGAGACGAGTACGTCGTCTGAGACTCTCAGACGACGTACTCGTAGAACGCAAGAAACGATCAGCTGCTGACGAGGGTGTATACCACTGAGATGGTGGAACCGACTGTTTGTAGCTATGCCAGCTACTTATGAGATAGCAAGATTAAGTGTCCGGTCAGCAACACGTGCCTCAACATAGAGGGCCTGTTTCATAGGAGGAAATTGCATCTTTAACTCAAATAGCGCCTTAAGTATACAGTACGCGCCATATGACGTTTCACAGATGGTTTGGGCTTGTCCTTACAGTCAGCAGCACGCTTCTGAGCTCTTGTTAGGGGCTGGTTTCTTGTGTTGTAGCCGTGACCGTGTTGTCCTTCCGGCTCCGTCTTCTTGCCAGATCCTCCAGAGGCTTCAGGTTGAGTCTTCAACGTCCGAGATTTCACCTTACGCAATTTAGTCGAACCGATAGCGCGTCTGTGGTGGGTAGTCAGGTCATCCTCTGCATTAGAAGCTGCTCCGCCAGCAGAGGTGGTGGAGCTCTGGCTAGGCCCGATCTCTCCGGGACTTGGCAACTGCTCTAAGATGGCCGTTCGATGGAATCGGATTCAGCTGTCAAATTGAACTGTAACCGTAGCTAGGTGTGGAGGGCTGGGGTGATTCAATAAGCGTCCCCAGGATGCTAGGAGCGCACCAAATGAGAATGCGCTAGGGTCAGGGAGGTAAAAATGACCAAAATAGTTTTTTGTCGAGTTTAAAGTGCGCGGCTTGGATTAATAGGTAATCAAGCATGGGGAGCTCAATGGTGAAGAAATTAGGTCAAAATTCGTCAAAATGAAAGAAAAAAGTGCCCGCCCAGTTCGCGCGTTTCTAGATGGCGCGTGTTATGGGATTCTGCGCACATCAATGTGCTTGCGTGCTTCCTGAGATCTATAGCGAATGATGATGGTAGTTCGCCCAGGAAGGCACGTTACCCTTCCCTCTCCCCTTGAGTCTTTCCCCTAAGTCTCCGTAGCTCAGCTATCTCTACAAGCTCATCAGTACTTGTGTTATCCAGTCCGTGGGCTTTACTATCACATCACACCCTTCCGATAAATCTACTCAAACCCGTTACACGCGTACTGTACCTCAAGTACTTGGAGTATTCTATTTCACTACCTTAGTAAACACGTTAAGGCGCCTTAAGTTTAGGAATACTCAAGTCGCCTCAAGTTTCTGTGCATATACTCAAGTATTTACGAGAAGCATTTCACAACATGCGTACTTAAGGGGAAACTTAAGTTATACTATACCTTGAGTAACTCTTCAAGTTGGTCCTAAATTTAAGGCGCTTTAACCCGCATATAACGAAGCACGTGTGCATTCTGTGACATCATTCCGCAACAAGTGTCGGGTCGGGAATAGACCTGGGAAGAGGAGAATCATCAACAACGTTCACTGGTACCAATGTACATTTGTTAGATTAGTTTGCCATAGCCATACAGCAGTTGGCATAGTTTGTTACATGGTTAATTTGGTCGTGCCGAGTCAACACTGCCGACCAAGCTGAGGCACGACTGCCTTCCTTTCTCGTGTCCCTACGGCGCAGGATCTGCGTGCAATCAACCACTCGGAGGAATCAATCTCAGCACATAGTGTTTGAGATGCCCGGGCACGCTAAAATATTTCCGGAATGGAAAATTCCCGGGAAATTTCCGGAAATTTCCCCTGAAATATAATCAAGCCAAAAAATTTCGTTCGCCCTATCGGGCGAGCGCGCTAGTATTGGGGGTTGTTGCACTGCCAGTTCAATGCCAATTCCACAGCATAATGGAGATTGTTTACAGAAGAACCAAGAGTATTGCGTAAATGGCATGTACCGATGGTTCAGAATCGTAATCCATAAAACTTGATATGATCGTAGTGTTCTAACGGAGTGTTTCTCGACAGCGTATGATGTTGCCCAAAATGATCACCGGACGATCAGGGCGTCGTGGTAGAGGCTCTGGAAGGGGTCATTCGGACTGTCGAGGATACTATTACCTTATGAAGAAGTCAGTCGAAGATGGCAAGACAACCAGTGTCCATCGTTGTATACTTTGCGTGGAGGAGGGGTCGGAAAAGCCTCAAGATTATGCAATAGACAATCCCACGAGATTCCACGATCACATACTGAAATCCCACCCGCATGCTCTGCAAGGTTTCAGCGCCACTGATCGTGTCGCTTCCGATACCGACACAGTGCCTGACATTCCCACTCCCGCCAACCCTCCAGCGCGAGCCTTTGGTCGCAGACGAATCTCCGTCAGTACAGCGTTCAGGGGAGATGGTAATACTCCTATGGCGCAGCATTTTGCGCCTGTGCCATCCAAGGAAAGGGTGTTGAAGTATCGAGATGAGTTGGCTATCACAGTCATCTATAACGATTGGGAAATTGGTGGTGTTGTCAATGACGTGTTCGTAAAATGCCAAGAGACTCTAAGGCCAGGCATCACGGATGCGATTTTACGAAAAAGTAGTATTTTTCCAGTGTTTTTCCATCCCGCAAACGGAGTGGAAATTTTTCGGAAAATTTCCGTGCCCGGAAATTTCCAAATGCCCGTGCGAACACTATGTCTCAGCATAAGTGGAATAGATCTCCGAATTTTCAAGTCTAAAAACTGTACGCTTGCATCTCGGAACGGATGAGCCCGCCGATTGAATCCCTGTGTCACTGGTCAAACTAGTCTGGCTCGAATTCAGACAGGTTAACTGGTGAATTGAGCCCAACAAATTGTTGGCAACAATCATCACTGCTTTAACACAGCACTCAAGACTAGAGGAAACAGCGAATTAGAAACATCTTCATTCGACAACCTTCAGAACACTGGCCGGCACAAAGCCAGTACCGCCTCTATCACCCTGCAAACGGACACGAACCCACCCTTGCGTGTCGACCTCGGGGGACAAAACATGGACAATATCTCGGATGCCCACTGAGAGCTCATGTGCAGCAATCTTTCTAAAGTTCCGGCAAACTTCAGCACGGATGCCTTCGATACCAGTGGCAGGCAGACCACTCAATTGTGGATCACTTGTAACCTGACATTGCAAAGAAACACCAAATATTTTGGTTCGCCACGATCATGTCAGTGGCACCCGATGATGCGCCAGGCGAAAAGAGTAGAATGGCATACCCAGACTGTGTCACTATTACCTCATTGAGACTTTGTGAGGCCTGTGAAGAAGATGAGCGACTACTGCGTGATGGGATCGCGCTGCCCCTTGTCACGGGTCGAGACTGACCAAGAAGGGACGCCAATGAGTGCTGTAGAACGTATACGAAGAACCGACAAGATACTCACAGTACTCCACAATTCAGCTTAAACGTAGTAGTAATGTATCTTACTTGAGGCAGCTGCCCTTTGGTTTCCGTCGGATGTTGGAAATCAAGTGTATCCTCCGCCGTGTACATCTGTGATTGAACCTTCGTTCATCAACTGAAGAAGCAATACTCACCCCAGTAGCCGGCAGACGCTGAAGCTTCGACACCAGACGTCTCTCAAGGTCATCAACACGCATATCTATGTGGTGAGCAAGCTTGGCTCGATCATCCTGAGAACAGCAGTAAATTATTGGGAAGCAAGCGGGTCAAAGAGGACACGGAGAGATGCACTCACTCGGCGCATTTTCCTCATCTCCTCCACAATATCCCCAACAATGAGTTGCCGCTGAGTTGCAACTAAGCTCTGTTGCTGGTCATAAAATCTCATCTCTTGTAGCTGCAGCGCTGTGGCCATGAGCTCCTCCATTTGCCGCTTCCCTGAATGCATGCACGATGAACCCGTTATATAAAAGTATGGAGGACAGCAGAGCGAAGCACACCTATGATTCCTCCATCAGTAGCATTGATGCCACATGAGAATACTTCATGTATGCGGTTCAACTGCAACACCCCTTGCCAGGTTCTCTCTTTATCTGGTAGAGCCGACAGCCTTTCATAGACGATTTTGTAGTCGTTCCAGAACTCCAGCCGGTCCTGCTCATCCCTCCCATCAGCCAACGCGCGGTCTTTCATGCGATTGAGAGCATGAAGACCTTCTACAGCGAAGCCCGTATCATGCAGCCCTCCGAGATAGAACGTCACAGTCTGTGATGCGTCGTCCAGAATCTTCCAAATACGCGCTCGGTCAAGCTCCACCGATTTATCTTCCGAAGACACCTGAGTAAAACCCGACTCGCACTCAAAAGGGTTAAAACGGATAATCACTAACCGCTAGACTAGTCGTTCCAGGTGACAAAGGGATGCTCCGAAGACTGATGTGCAGCTGAGACGAGGACGTGAGGCTCTGCGACTGACCAGAACCAGTCTCCTGTGAGCCTGGCCCAATGCAGCCTTCACCAGCAACCTAAGCAGCTTCTCTAAACATCAAACATAACCGATTCCCATTACCTTGCCACCTGTACTTGTTCCCTCGAGCGGTGTGATAATAGTCATGCCTTCCGTCGCCAATGAGGACGGCTCTTCCTCTCGACCAACTAAGGAGATCAAATAATACGACCAACACTATCACCCCAACTCGAGTGGCTCAAGAATACGACCACGAACTTACCAAAGCACTTTTCATTGAGTTCTCCACCTTTAACGACTAGAGGCTGGGAAGAGCCGCCGTCCACCTGATCAAGGATGACGACTTCACATCCCTCTAAGTGGACTTCAGTTTTACCCCTATGACCATCTGCTTCTTCTCGTTAGCTACAGTGGTACTATTCTCAAGCCTATCAGAAGTGAGGACATCGTCGAGATCCAAAAGAGTAGCACTCATGAGGATAAAACCTCTGAAGTTTAGCAAACACGACATACACTACCTAGGGACTTCTCAAATCCCACGTCCAACCACACGAGCATTCACCCCGTCGATTACAAGAGACCCGAACTAACTTGCTACTATTATCGCGAGAAATATTCAAGTTTACATTCTCCATTAGGCTTGCGGCGTCGCATACTCAAAAATATGGGGGATTGAGAGAAAAGCTGAATAGAACACTGCGAGTGTATTGATACATAGGGTATTATGAACTGAAGGATGGTACTCTCCTTCTACTCAACTTTCTCGCCACGATTGGCTTCATCGATCTTAACAATCTCGTGACCAGCATCAAACAATTGGATGACATTGATGACCTAATAGGGTGACACTTCTCTCACAACGACGGTATGCACAACTATTACCTGCTTGAGTAACGCAATGGGGAAGAATGCTACAGCAGCATAGAAGACCGCTTGCTGCATCCACACCGGGGCTGCGGCAGTAGGCATAGTAGCGAAGTGGTACAGATACATCAATACCAATACAGCCTCTTGAGCGAAGCAGAGCGAGAAGAGCATCACTGAAGGAATACGTATAAGGAGGCACGTATATTTACGTGACTCGTTACCTCTGCTGCCGTAGTATTTCTGCAACAACCAAGGCCTGTTGGGTGCAATGTATTTATGACTACCATTCTTAGCGAGCACGCTAGAGTACCTATAGAAGAGCCCAAATCTCATAGTAAGGGAGACGAACGACTGAAGGAAGTCGTTACATCTGAGTCCAATGAGAAGCATAATCGACAACGGCGAACATGACCAGGGGAAGGTATAGAGCCGGGTAGAAGTGACTCAGAATGAGCGCCAGGATGTTGGAGGAAATCCTATCAGTTACCATGTCTAGTACCTACGCTTTTCCACTCGAGTGAAAGCAAGAATAGCAGTCTAATGCATTACAGCTCCGAACATGCTGCACTCGTTGAACCGTCTGGCAGCAGCACCATCGAAAGCGTCCAACATCTGCGACCAGAAGTAGCAGAAAACGAACGCCTTCCAGTTACTGAGTGAGAACCGACAATTAACCAAAGCTCAATCTCAGCAGACAGGAGATATTACTCGAATGCCACATAGAAGCTGATGAGCATTAGGGCCACTCTAGTGTAGCCGATAAGGTTCGGAACGAAGAGATAAACAGAAACCATATTCGGAAAGGAATACTGCGGTGATACTAATGAACTGCAGAAGGAGCCAGCATGAAAAATGATCGTAGTTCGGTGAAGTAGTGCCGCAAGGCAGAATGATGTCCTTAGCATGCTTTGACGTATTAGAGCCATTGAGGAGCCAGACGAAATTCCACAAGGGCTGCGCTGTGGTAGTGCAGAAGTTGTGCTAGCTTCCATGAGAGAGGGTTGTTGCTCTATCATATTATTATCTACGATAATTTGTCGCTAGGCCTAAAACGAATATCGAAAG